GTTTTTTTTTTTTTTTTTTTTTTATCCTTAAGAAATTTTTAATTATAATTACATTTTGTTAAAGACAGAGCCACAAAGAAAAGAAGCAATTTTATGTTTAGTTTTTTTTTCCTCTTGCTGTACTGAAAACATACCAAACTGTGACTTCAAAACTGAGGTATGTACCGAACTGTTTTTGTATACCGTTACACCCCTAATCATCACACATATAATAGAGCACATCATGTGGTAAACACGGAAGCGCGAACCTGCATGTGTGATGCACGAGAACCAATGAGGTTTGTTCTAGTGTGCAACGCATGCGTGACACGCACAAGCTTCCCTGTTTACCATATGTGGTGCTCTCTCTCTATATATATATATATATATGTGTGTTTATATGTTAATAAAAGCTTCTGTTAAAGGGATAGTTCACCCAAAAATGAAAATTAGCTCATGATTTACTCACCCTCAGGGCATTCTAGGCGTATCTGACATTGCTCTTTCAGACGAACACAATCACAGTTATATTTAAAATTGGCCTGGCTCTTCCAAGCTGTATAATGGCAGTGAATGGTGCCCTTGTTTTTGAAGCCTAAAAAACTGCATCCATCCATCATAAAACTACTCCGCACGGCTCCGAGGTGTTAATAAAGGCATTCTGAAGCGAAACGATGTGTTAATGTAAGAAAAATATTGATTTTTAAAATTTATTTATAAACCGTAATCTCCAGCTTCCAGTCGCTCAAGAAAAGACGTTCGAGCGTATGATGTACGCGTAGCAGAAGGCTCTGGGGAGAGAGTGACGAACGCGGAAGCCCCGGAGCTTACTCTCGCGAGACTACACTCTTCTCCCCGGAGCTTACTCTCACGAGACTACACTCAATCTCCCCGGAGCTTATGTTGTGCCTTCTGCTACGCCTGCATCATACGCGCCAACGTCTTTTCGTGAACGCGCCTACTTGAGCTGGAGATTACAGTTTATAATTTTTGAAAAATCTATATTTTTCTCACACTAACGCATTGTTTCGCTTCAGAAGGCCTTTATTAACACCCCGGAGCCGTGTGGAGTAGTTTCAGATAGAGGAATGTCAGATACGCCTAAGATGCCTTGAGGGTGAGTAAATCATGGGCTAATTTTCATTTTTGGGTGAACTATACCTTTAAATCTGTTTATCATATTTAACACGGCAATCTCTTCACATGACTTGGAATAAACTGCTCAGTTCATATGAATTAATTTTATGATGCCTTTATGACCTTTTTGGATATTCTAAGTTTTGGTTATCAGAAACCTCTCAGGTTTCTTTAAAAATATCTTAATTTGTGTCTCAAAGATTAACCAAATTCTTATAGGTTTGGAATGACACAAGGGTAAGTAAATGATGACACAATTTTCATTTTTGGGTGAATTAACCATTTAATGCAGTGCACCTCATATTCTAAGACTTTAAGTAGAAAATAACTTGCTGCTTTAAAGTTGGCATGAAATGGAAGTTGTGATTATGTTATTTATTGTGATTATATTATTGTGATGTACACTACCGGTCAAAATTTTGGGATCAGTAAGACTTGTAATGTTTTTTTTTAAAGAAGTCTCTTATGCTCATCGAGGCTGCATTTATTTGATCAAAAATACAGAAAAAAAAACCCAGTAATCTTGCAAAATGTTATTACAATATAAAATAATGTTTTCTATTTTAATATCCTTTAAAATATAATTGATTTCTGTGACGCAAAGCTGAATTTCCATCAGCCATTACTCCAGTATAAAGTGTCACATGATCCTTAAGAAATCATTCTAATATGCTGTTTTATTATTAGAATTATCAATGTTGGCAACAGTTGGGCTGCCAAATACTTTTTTTGGAAACTGCGATACTTTTTTCAGGATTCTTAATTCAAAATACAAATCTTTGCTATCACTTCTCAAAAATTTAACACATCCATGTTGAATTTTTTTTTTTTATTTCTTTCAAAAAAAGAAAATAAAAATTTACTGACCCCAAACTTTTGAACTGTAGTGTATATTGTTAGAAAATATTTATATTTTGAATAAATGCTCTTCTTTTTAACTTATTATTCTTCAAAGAATCCTGAAAAAAAGTATCACAGGTTCCAAAAAAATATTAAGCAGTCCAACAGTTTCCAGCACTGATAATAAATCCGCATATTAGAATGATTTCTGAAGGATCATGTGACACTGAAGACTGGAGTAATGATGCTGAAAATTCAGCTTTGCATCACAGGAATAAATGAGATTTTAATGTATATGAAAATAGAAAAACTTATTTTACATAATATTTCACAATATTGCATTTTTTCCTGTATTTTTGATCAAATAAATGCAGCCTTGATGAGCATAAGAAACTCCTGTAAAAAACATTAAAAATCATTCTGATCCCAAACTTTTGATCGGTAGTGTATATCCAAGTGAAACAGCATCTTGGAGGAAAAAAAATGTAGGGGTGGGATATAATTTGGTCCATTGGTAATTGACTTTGAATCTTTTTCCAGCTGGCAGGGGGTGCAGTGATGGCTGTGGGCATCTGGACGCTAGTTGAAAAGAGCGACTACATCAGTCTGCTGTCCTCAAAGATTTATGCTGTCTCTGCCTATATACTGATCATGGCCGGGGTGATTGTCATGGTAACGGGGGTTTTAGGTTGCTGTGCCACCTTCAAGGAGCAAAGACGACTTCTGAGAGTGGTGAGGAACACATTTAAATGTTTACTTGCTCTAGAGGACTGTTTAGGATTATGTTTCCATTTTCTTATGCTGTATGTTCCTCAATTTAAATAGATAAGCATGACTGATGGGCAGTCATGTTTATCTATTTATGTTGAGGAACATACAGCATAAGAAAATGGAAACATAATCAGTTTAGAGTGTGACCAAAAAAGGTTAGCAAACTAAAGCTTTCCTCATTTTACATCCATAGTTGGTATGTAAAATATAAAATTGTAATTAAAGGGATACTTTAAGTTTGAGTTATCAATTACTCACCCTCATGTCATTCCAAAACGATAAGATAGCACATACCCCCTCAAATTTTGAATGCAGCTTCCAAAAGACAAAGAAATATATATGTACATTTGATAATGCACTCAGTGCTTGTCATTTATAACAAAAACAAAACAAAAAAATTCACAATGATATAATTCTTTATAACTATATAATTCATTAGAACAGCCACTGATTTACAATATGTGCTGTCGAATGCAGAGATAAGGTGTCGCATGGCTACGAGTGTGATATTGCAATTATACCACCGTTAGATGGCATAAATATGTAAATAAATAAGAGACCAACCATGAACTGTCTTTAAAAAACATTTTGTGTGCAGAACTACTTCCACCACTGATTCATATCTCAAGTTGACAGTTTCACACGGGTTCTCAATGTGAGGTCTACAGACCCCATGCAAAATTCAGCAAATTAAATTTAGGGCAATATGATTTTCTTTTTTTATGGAAAATGTGACTGGAATCGCAGAATCCAGTCAAAATTGAATTTTTTGTATTACACGGAATGTCACGAAGTTTGGCCAATTTTAGATGAATAAAACAAAAGTAGAGCTGTACACTTAATCAAATCGTCTATTGGACTGTTTATATTAAACCAAAAAGACTATTTAAATATGAATCTTGCATTTTCTTTGTCTCTGTGAATGAATGGTGCAGATGTGTGTTTTCATCTACTACACAAACACGAGTGCGTGTGATGCAGTGTCTTCAGTGTCTGTCATCTCACTAAATGAGAACATGTATATGAGATATTAGACATGCTTTTTGATTACTACAGTTTAATTTAACCATTAAAACAGAGTCCAGAAAAATTAAAATGGAAAAAAACGCAATCTAAAAAAACATTTAATGTAACAAAAAAATTCAAAATTCCATAAAAACTGAAGTTTCAATGGTATTTAAGAGTACAAAATGTAGTAAGCATATGCTTTATTGCTGTTATAATTATGAGAAGATCCTTGGAAAATGTTCTCCCTCATAAGGGGTTCCTGGTCCCAAAACGTTTGAGAACCTCTGGTTTAACAGATGAGCCCAAGCCTCCGTTGCCAATTCGAAAACCTCACTTTAGAACTAGCAACGAAGGAACTCTGAGTTGCATTATTGAAGTTAAAGGTTTTTTGTATTATGTAGACTAGAGTATTATGAGAGATTGACTGAGTGTGATAACCTGCATCTGATACAGCATTCATTCTTCAGCTTAATCTCATATTTAGAATAAAACATATATTTTGAATGTCTGCTGAGGATAAATGTTCAATAAAATTTGCTAGGCAATTCAGTCAAAAGTACAAAGGCATCTTGGAGGAATCAACATCTCTCTCTCATCAGCAGCACTCTGATACAGCAGTTGTTATATAAAATATAAAGTTATGAGACTTTGCCCTCAGCCAAAACTATTTGTTCTGGAACAAATAATAGATTAATGAGACCAAAGATTGGCCATTAGATATACCCAAAACAAATTATATCTCATGTTTAACCACTATAGAACTGGCTGAGGTAAGGCTGTTCTCAGCGGGTTCATGAGCCCTGAATGGCCATTGACATCCTGGAGCGGAGACTTGCCTAATGTCAGGACAAGCCTTTTTGTAACACTAACATTTACATATAATGGCACTGTATGCTTATGAGTTTGTTTTAAGTGCTTAAAGGGACCATGACATGAGAAACATATAAGATATACAGTATAAAAGATATTTTTACCATTAAAACAATCTGCAAGTTTCATAGCTTAAAATGTCCTCCTCTTTATATGTCATCTGAAAATGGTGCTTTATTAATAGCCAAGCAGTGTTATTTTGTCTGATTGTAATTTTGTCAACAGTATTTTTATTATTATTATTATTATTACTTTTTTAAATAAGTTATCAAAATAAGTTATCATCATGACTGGCATTGAAATATGTATTGTCTCTCTCCTCCCATTGTCAGTATTTTGTTTTACTGCTGTGTATTTTCCTGCTGGAGATCCTGGCTGGAGTTTTGGCCTACATTTATTACCAGCAGGTTAGTTATTTATTTGTTCTTTCATTCATCGTTTGCTGTGTATTTGTGTCTTTCATTGTCATGCTTTGTGAATATTATAGCTGAATGAGGAACTGAAGGAGAACTTGAGGGAGACCATGGTTCAAAAATACCATCAGCCTGAGCAGGACCATGTGACGAAGGCTGTGAACAAACTACAGCAGGAGGTGGGACAACTGTCTTTTTGCTAAAATGCATTTGTTATTGACTGTTTACTTATGTGTTGGGTGTTGGCAACTCAGAAGCGAAGACTAGGAGACTCGGGTGTATCTTCAGCAGGATACTTTATTGAGAATATGCTGTTTGGCACTGTAGTGATGAAGTCCAACTAAAGGAAATGGAGATCAAGTAGTCAGGTCATGACCAAAACACAGTAGTGTAGGGTGATATGCTCCATAGTCATATCGCTGATACACAATATTATCATGCTAATTTATTTAATTATTCACTCACTTAGTTTCATAGCCAGAGAGTGTACAGCTAAAAGCACATCTGCACTTTGTTGTTTGTGATGAGAGAATTTGTGAGAGAGCAGAATTAAGTCTGCAATTGTGCACACTGAACAACCAAACTCCGGTGTTTCAGCAATGACTTATCTAAACACATCTGATTGGCCATTGCATTCTTAAACTCAACGGAAGTTGTGTGTGATTAGTTATAAGATGGAACATATAAGCCCAAATATTAATTAGAAAGTATTACTAGCCTGATAATAATAATAATAACAATAATAATCGTCTTGCTTTCGTCAAAGGCATCAGCCACGGGCCATATCTCTGACTATTGATACATAGTATCGTCGATACGCAATACTAACGTCTATCGGCACAACCCTAATTCACAGTATGCAAGTGATGCAAGCATTTGGAGGAATCCGCTTAGACAATCAGATACTTCATAATTGCGATAAAGACAAGTCCACACCTACACTAATAGTGGCTACAACTTTAAAGAATGGGGCAGGGGCACCAAGAGCCATCACAGACAAGAGGTAATTGTTTCAGTTACCAGGCTTGTTTAACTTTAACAAATTGGTGAACAGAATAATTTGTCTGTCATGGTCTTCACTCTAAATGCCAAATAAAATGTACATCACTTCAGCTTTTTATGTGGTGTTATGGCAAGACAGATCTTTATGAGATTCTTAAATTCCCCCCTTTGAGAGTTCTAATAACTCTCACCTAATGCAAATGTAAACCTTCTTAATTCCATTCTATAATGTTTGTCAACATACAGTATGGCCACAATACGGTTACGTTCACATAGGGCTGGGCGATATAGCTAAAAAAATTATCACGATATAATGTTTCATATCATTCGGTATCGATAATTATTGAAAATGTTTTATAACCTTTCTTAAACAGAGCAGTAGAAAAAAAAGTTTAAATTTAACCACTGTATTTAATTTACCCAATTTATTAAGACAAACAACAACCTATTTTAGTCTTAACAGACAAAATAACAAATAAAACAAAATAAAATTGAAACAAATATCTCCTTTCTTATATTTTATATGCAGATTAAATAAGTGTTAATGAAACATTTGGCCTGACTCCTGAGGCCACAGGAGGGCGCAATGAGCAAAATAATGCACCTCAATAAATTGTTTATTCAATGCAATGAAATAATGGCAGTCTATAAAAAAGTGCATACTGTCTAAACTAATATTTATAAATCAAATATAATTTCGTAAATTGCATAAACAATATGAACAAAACAGCATCGTATATTTATGCATAGATTAATACAAATAGCCAAAGCACCGAGCACATGATTGCATTTAAAAACATATGAGACGCAGTGGAATGGAATAAAAAACATCTTATAACTTTACATGGCTTTCTAACAAAAACATTAAAATGCAACACTTACATCCTCACCGCATCTTGTGCGCCACTGATAAGGCTCCCTGACGCACACACCTAAAATTTAAATACACCGTTTTTGCAATAGAATGCACATTTTTATTTTAAATTTGACTAATATTCTTTTTGATTCACAGTCTCCTCATCGCAGGCAGGCACAGCACTCATTTCAGCATGTGTTTGTGTGTTCTGTTGGCTGTCTGCTAGTCACTCATAACACGCACATTTAAATGAAAAAAGCGTGAAACTATCGTGCGATATATATCGAACATTTTTTCTATTGTTATCGATGATGGTGTACCGTCGATAAATATCGATACCATTTATTGCCCAGGCCTACGTTCACACACAGTACGGTTATTTACAGGCATCTCAACCGCATTCTGTAACCGAACTCACACCAGTTATGTTTTCAGGACTCACAACCGCATTTTTGGAAAACACGTGCTGTGTGAACGGAACAGGACTGGACAACTAGTTGTCTGTCACATCATACAGTGTGAGAGAGAGCCGCTCTGCTGCACAAACGAGTGTCTACCATGTGTTGCGTGTTTTCATGTGTGGTTTCAGTAACTTGCAGTGACGTAGAAATGAGCTGTCTTCTGAAAGTTTTAGAGCCAGTCTCCACAGGAGCTGCTGCTGTCGGTTAATGAAGATTAAAACTTGAAGCTTGATTGGACTCTTGTCGTGTCAGAAAGTGGTAAGACTTTCAGTTTTATGGACGTCGCCATCTTTAATATTACTTTGGTCACTTTTGCTAAGGTAACTGGTAAGGAATACGGACTTGACTCTCGTTGCACATTCATACAGACAGTATTCAAGACGCTACTGTAAGTTGCTGTGACTGTGAACATGACATTTTGAGACTCACACCTGTAAGTAAATGCAGTTATCAATCCCAAAAACTGACCGTGTGAACTTAGTCAGTGTCCCATTTTCCAGTCATATAACTAGAAATAGTTACAGGAACTTCATGTCCTTGCTTTATGTAAGTGGTTTTTTTTTCTTTCAAAACTGTTAACTGGTACTGGTAAACTGGTAAAATGTCATATAAACTACATGATGACACAGGAAACTTTTTATCATATAAGTAGAAGTACTGAAAGACCATGGCACTTGAATAGCTGTAAAGTCTGTTTCCTGTTGAGTCCATTTCCAATGCAAAGTCACTCAGATGACTCTTTGTCCCTCATGAGGCTTGTTCATGGCTTGTATATGAGGTGATGCTTTACACCAGGGTTTCACTTATAAAGACGTGATGGCATATACATATACCTGCCACACAAGAAAACAAAGAAACAACAGACTGGCGGTATAATATGTTACACCTCTGACAATTGTATAGTTTCTGTGTCCAACTCTTATTACAATAAACATAGTATAGGGATTTTGTTTACCTAGTTATAAGTAATTCGACATCTATGGACCGGTGAGGTGGGAATAAAACTACTGATAGAGGAAAACGTATGAGGAAGACTTTACCGCAGAGTTATCCTCTGAGGCACATTGTACAGTCATGGCCAAAAGACATAAATTTTGTGTTTTGCAAAGTTTGCTGCTTAAGCTGTTGTGGTGTTCATTCACATTGTTTCTAGATTATTGTGTAGAGTGATCAGATGCATTTTAAATAATTGCTAAAAGCTTCATTGGCCAAAAAATGAACTTTTCACAAAAAAACTAATTTCACTGTTTTTTGATCCTGACACAAAATGACCAGCTAACATTAATTGACTAATCATATCAGCAGCACATGTGAAAGTGTGAATGAGTACTAGTCAGGTAAAATCACTATCATACTAATTAGATTGTAAGAGCAGACTGATTGCTATAAAAGGAGGGAAGAAGCGCTTCCAATCATTGTGTTCTTGTTAGCAATTGTTACCTCCAAAGAAACACGTACAGCCAGCACTTTGCATCAAAATGGCCTCACATGCAAGGAAATTGCTACAAAGAATACTGCACCTGAAAGAACCATTTACCGGATCATCAAGAACTTCAAGGAGAGAGGTTCGACTGCAGTGAAGAAGTCTTCAGGACATCCCAGAGTGTCCAGCAAGCGCCAGGACGGTCTCCTCCTGAGGAGTCAGCTACAGAATCGGGTCACCAGCAGTGCAGAGCATGGACAGCAGAAGACTGGTGCAAAGTTATTTTCTCTGATGAAGCTCCCTTCCGACTGTTTGGGACATCTGGAAAATCGATTGTTCGGAGAAGAAAAGGTGAACGCTACCGTGAGTCCTGTGTTGTGCCATCAGTGAAGCATCGTGAGACCATCCATGTGTGGGGTTGCTTTTCAACCAAGGGAGTGGGCTCTCTCATAATTCTGCCCAAAAACACTGCCATGAATAAAGAATGGTATTAAAACGTCCTGCAAGAACGACTTCTTCCAACGATCCATGAGCAACTTGTTAATGATCCGTGCATTTTCCAGCATGATGGAGCACCATGTCACAAAGCAAGAGTGATAAAGAAGTGGCTCGTTATATTGAAATTTTGGATCCGTGGCCAGTCAAATCCCTGGAACTCAATCCCATAGAGAACCTGTGGTCAGTTCTCAAAAGGCGAGTGAACAAGAAGAAGCCCACAAATTGTGATCAACTCTGAGAACTAATAAGGCAAGAATGGATCGCCATCAGTCAGGATTTGACCCAGAAGCTAATATCCAGCATGCCAGAGCGAATTGCAGAGGTTATGAAGGAGGGAACATATAATTACTTGGTTTTGATACTCTATTTGAACCAGTTATTATTGCCCCATCGTTATTTTGTGTATAAATATGGTCATATTAATGCCTGTTTTTCACTTATTTTTATTGCTAAAAAATATCAGATTACTCTATTTTCAAAATAATCAGTAGATAACTTGATTACCGAAATAATCATTAGTTACAGCCTTAGATTAGTTAAAACATTTTAAAATACAACTGCATTGTTTTGCATTTTGTGATTAAAAGACAAATATTTTGTAACTGAAAATTTCTTTAAAATAGTATTAAAATATTGTCTTGTTCCATTGAACCAAGTATCTGTATTTTGTCTCATCTGCTGAGCTAAGTGTATTGTACACACTTAGGATTGGACAGCAGAAGACTGGTGCAAAGTTATTTTCACACCCCTACACAGACACTAGGGGTATTGTCACACCCCTAGTGTCTGTCATTGCATGCTTTGCATGTGCTGCACTTTATTTGTACCATGTTGTTTTATTCGTTTATTCATTAGAATTTGAAAGATAATAACGATATTGTTTGATAAGTGAGATCACTGATTTTAGTCCTTGAAAACCAAAAAAGTAGTGTCCTTGAAAGTCCTGGAATTTCATTCTTTATCTGTTCGAACCCTGGTCATAGTAGACATCATAATTGAGGATGGGTGAGTGACTGGAGTATGATGTAGTATAAAATCTAATGTTGTGAGTTTACTCAACTAGTGCCCCTCCCCTCCCCCCAGTGGAAGGAAGTGATAGGCAACTTTCTTTTTGTTCTATTTAAAAAGAGACTTTCATCTTTGTTTTAAATTACTGTAGAAGTTATGCACTCACAGCCCTAAGAGTTAGCACCTCAGCAAGCTGCACCATAAGTTCTGTGGAGCGGGGGGATGCTGCTTCATAGTAGTAAACGGCAATGTCTGCCCTCCCTCTTAGGACACAGTTTTTGTCTGTTTCCTGTGTTGACCTTAAAGGATGCTGATGTAATCTTTACATTTGCCTCAACATCAGAATCTCTCAAGTTATTTTGCATAGCTTCATAGTTTATTTTACCTTTTAAGGAGTATCAGCTATACCACTGTATGCGGCAGATGACTGACAAAACATTAGTGTACTCACTTACTCATCTTTCTTTTACAAACAACAAGTGATCCTTGACCAGTCTACATTTGGACCAACAATGTTCTTTAACATTAATTAATTAACTGCTATTCCTACATGGGCTAAGGATTGCTTTTGTTTCTGTCAGTTCAAGTGCTGTGGCAGTAACGGCTCCTTTGATTGGGTGGAGAGCGTTTGGATCCGCTCCGTTGAGGCCGACAGTCGGTTGGTTCCTGATAGTTGCTGTAAAAGCCCAGTCATAAAGCTGTGCGGTCGGAGAGATCACCCCTCGAATATCTATAAAGTAGAGGTGAGTGTACCACAAATTACAATGAAATTGAAATGGTTTCTGGTGGTTCTGTTGGACAATACAGGAACTTTCACACATTAAAACGTACAATTGCTAAATTAACTTTCCCAGTAAACCTACATATGCTTTTCTTACAAAGCTCTCTGCACTTAGATGTATATCCACCACTCATACATGGGGCTGGGTAAATTATCAAATATTTCCTAAAGAGAGTGTCATTAAACTAGTGAGAACGATGTGTATTAACTGATCATCAGCTGGTGAAGCTGTGCTAGTTTTGAAGAGGTAGCACAAATCGAAGTGGAAGCGAACACTTTAAAAAAAAAAAAAAAAAAAAAACTTTTGGAGCCATAGTGTGCCAACTTTATTCTTTTTTCTACTTAAAGGGAAAGTTCACCCAAAAATGAAAATTTGATGTTTATCTGCTTACCCTCAGGGCATCCAAGATGTAGGTGACTTTGTTTCTTCAGTAGAACACATTTGATGATTTTTAAGTCCAACCGTTGGAGTCCATCAGTCTTATAATGCATGGCAATGGTAACAAAGTCTATGAGTGTAAAAAAAAACATGCACAGACAAATCCAAATTAAACCCTGCGGCTCCTGATGACACATTGATGTCCTAACACACGAAACGATTGGTTTGTGCCAGAGACCGAACAGTATTTATATCCTTTTTTACCTCTAATTCACCACTATGTCCAACTGCTTTGAGCACGCGCACGACTTCCGGTGCGTGAGGTGTGTACGCGCTCTGGCGTAGTTTGGAAGTGATCTCTCACGCGTATACGTCACTCATTGTTTACACAGTGCACAGTCATTGTAGGTACGACGGCTAATCAAAATGGTACTTACTTGCG